AATAGGCCTACTGTACGTACCAGGAGTACAACCCGACTATACTCTCGCCCGGTAAAAAGACTGCATTGTGCGGTGTCTCCTAAGTTTACTTACTGTTAAAATATTTTAATATCCATTTTCATTTTTTTAATAACCTTTAACCTTCAAAGAGCAGAAGTAAGATGAGTAAAAAGTAGTTTTAACAATGCTTCTGTTTCTTCTGTTGAAGTAATTATTTTTAATTTTGTTATAGTAAATTGTTAATGATGTGTTAGTTACTTATTTATGCCCTTTCTAGTAAGAAGTTTTATTACTAGTGTGCAAAAGTAGCTAGTAGAGTGTATACTGTACATGGTCACATCAAAAGAACGATATGCATTCATGTTCCAGCCCTTTGTCAATTTTGCTTTTACGGTGATTATATTTGAAGCACTTTTTATATTAACGTTTCGTACTATATATTGTTGCTTACACTTTCAATAACTAACATTTTACTACTTATTTTTTCAATTAAATAATCTGCTTATACTTCATTAAAAATAAATTATTATATCTGCAGTAATCTCCTTCTTCTTCGCCTGTCTTTTTTAAACCATTGCAGAATAAAGACTTTTTTAAGAAGGCTCAGCAAACGGATTGACGTAAACCGATAAAGTACTCGTACTTGTTAGACTTCTCCTCAATCTGTAATCTGTCGATTTGTCTTGGCATTTGGGATCAGATCTAATTTTGAACTCATCTTAATGATTTTTTATTAAATGGCAGCCCATTTAACAACCCCGGGTGATCCAGTTTATAAAAGATATAAAAAAATAGGGGATAGAAATTTTAATAAGATGGGTGTGCCATGGAAGGCCACTCTAACAAATAAACAGTTATTATTCGTTTATTTACCGGATAAATGAAACTAACAAATATTTAAATAATATTTTGTTTTATTACGTAACACATAGACCACTTTTTTAAATAGCAGATTTAATCAATATTGATTGAACTTAAGTTTCATTGAACTCTTCCGAATGACCTTGCTAGGAACAAGGCTTCTTAGAATGCCATTATAATAACGTTACGCACGCATTATATTTACTTCGTCGATTCCCGAAATCAAAGAAGCGAGGGACCCTACTGCCAAAATAGTAGCGCGAGCGATTCACCGCCGCGTCTGTGATTTTCAGTTCGATGGGTGTTGTGTAAGTAGAAGGAATTTGTCATTACAAGGCAATAACATCGAAATTTTAATAATTGGCCTTCGAAGGCGCATGGCCTTCCATGGTCCACCCACCTTACGACTATTTAGATTAAAATTTAGTCGTTACCATAAGGTTGTGATATTACTACGAGTAATTTAAAAATTATAAACTGACTCTTAAGCCGGTTGCAGACCAAGAGCTAAGCTAAGTTAGTTTATCTTAGCTCGCATAGCTGACGAAGTTTTTCATACTTGTTGTCGCGAACGCGATTTAAATATGGGCAGAATTAATGTTGCTAAGAAGGCAACACTGGTTGAGAGAGGGGGAAGTGACTTAAATATTAGTGTCGAATTAAGAGTCAGTTGGAAGTTGTGGTTCGAAGGAGACACTACTCTCTAGCAAGAGTTGCTGCCATTAATGTTACAAGACCTTGTTAGTTTACTGTTAAGATTTCGACAGCATAAGATTGGTATAATAGCCGACACAGAGAAGGCCTTTTTACAATTAGGTCTGCAGGAACAGGATAAAATGTTACAAGATTTCTTTGGTTGAAGAGTTATAAAACAGGAATAACTGAAGACAATATTGAATGTTATCGGTTTTGTAGAGTTCCTTTTGGTATCGTTTCTAGCCCATTTCTACGCTAAACGCTACCATCAAGTACCATTGATCTAACAATCAAGACCCTTTAGTGGCCAATGCAGCAGAAAAAATATATGTTGATATACCGATAACAGCAGTAGAATCAGGATGCCATTAAACTACAAAGTAAAAATATATACATCATTACAAAATATCTCTATGAATGTAAGACAATGGAACTCAAATAGCAAAGAATTTATTGAAGCTATACCAATACACCCATTAGAAAATAAAGAATCTACTAAAGTTCTAGGTATGATATGGAATACTAAAGAAGATATTTTACAGTTAAATGTCAAAGAAAATCAGGCTGAGAAATGTTTGAATCATAAAATTACAAAAAGAAATGTATTAAAATATATATAGCTACAATTTATGATCCCTGTGGATTTTTAATACCTATTATCTTACCAACAAAGTTATTTCTGCAAGATTTATGGAGTCGAAAGATAAAATAGGATACACAATTAGATGAAGGTCAAATAAAGAAGTGAGAAGAAATTGTTAGAAGCATGGATAAAGAGATCAAGGTGTTTAGTGTCCCTTGATAAATTGGTACAGAAGAAACACCAAATAGATAGATTAATTGTATATTTAGTTTGCAGATATCCAACAAGTACAGAAGTTAATCTTTTAATGGCAAAATCAAGATTGAAACCATTAAAAAATAAAGAACTTCAAATACCCAAACTTGAACTCTTAGGATTTTTAATTGGATGTAGACTCTTAGATTTTACAAAAGAAAATATAGAATTAAAAATAAGCAAAATGTGTTTATGGACAGATAGTCAAGTTGTCATAAGCTGGATTAAAAACAAATTGCAGTATCTAACGGTTTTTCAAAAAATCTCATTAATAATCTTATTAAAAAGAAACAAAAGCATGTTCGTAATTCTTTGTACGCGGTTCGATCTCAAAGTGTCCGGCGATATGTGGGTAGTTTGACCTACTTAGGCTCCATATCGTTGTTTATAAACTTGTTTGTGACGAATGCCACGCCGTTTACGTGGGTCAGACTGGTCGCAATTTCGGGACGCGCTATAAAGAGCATTTGGCCGCGTACAGAAATTGCAATCCTGATAAATCCCATTTTGCTAAACATCTCTTGGACACTGGACACAACCTAGCCAGCGACCATTCCTTTGAAGCCTTACATACTTGTAATAAGGGGCTGCGACTGTGTGTGCTGGAACAGTTGGAGATTTAAAAAATAATAGTGGTAACAATGCACTGCTGAATGAACAAACAAATGTTTCTATTTCACCTTTGTTAAACATCTTTAAGACTAATCTTTAATAATAATTTTAAAATTAATAATAAGAAATAACTATAATAATATAAATATAAAAAAACAATAACAATAATAATAATATTTAAAAAAATATTAATGATAACAATTAGTCGCAGGTTTGTTATCGCACGGCGCGGTCACTCGCTACTTTGGTGGGGAGTGGTTGTGTCGGCGTGTATAAATAGCAGCTGTTTCGGCTCGCCGCTCACTTAGCGGTCAGTCGCCGTAGAGTCTACATTACCTGAGGATGCCTCGTGTAGTGGCGAAACACGTGTCGTATTGTCGATGGTGTGTCTTGCCTGGAATAGTGGTGACTGAGTTAGTGCATGCAATTGAGGGAGGGCTGGAGGTGCTCTTCAATCCAGGTAAGACACATCATTGTATTTGGTTAGCGGAAGGTTGCAAAGTAATTTTTTTTATAATAAACTAAAAAAAACTACTTCTCTTCAAATATTATTAAAGCCTTTTTTCCTAGTGATTTTTTAAATGTTTTCAAGTGTTGTAAGGTAATTAAGTAATTCTGGTTATGGCAACTTTTGACATTGCAGGCCGGTTGAAAAGTTTTGAATTCTGTTTCTGCCTCCGGTAGGAGTAATTGTGCTTTCTGTATTTTGGTGTAAGTTTGCATCATAAAAATTGTATTATGTTTTAACGACTTGGTATTACTTACGAACTCTGGATTTTTCTACTGTATCTATAAACTCGGTACCCAATACGGACTTTGGATTTTCTGCTACTACGCACGACATTGGCATTCAATATTCATTACGGATTTTGGTTTTTCCTATAATTTATACGACTGTTTCTACATTGGAATACGCAATGCCTACGAAACTGTGTAATTTTGGCTGTAAGCTAGATGGGAAGGTTTTGCGTAAATTAATATACTTATATCTTTACAATAGGAACATAATAAACCCCATATTGTTTTTATTTACAGTACCTATTCATAGTTTCCAAAACCTGGCTATTATAACGAAGCTAGATTTAATACGTAGTTGGCAGTATTGTCTGAGGAAAGGAAACTCGGGAATTTCATATATATTAAGATATATCTACATATGTGACAGGCAATTTGAACAAAAGTTTCGTACTGTTGGAGGAAGGCTAACATACTAGCTAGCTACCATTTATCCCACTTTAAATTTATGTAAGCATAGCAGTATGTTGCTTGCTTTCTGGGTAAGTAGGTATGTAGTGCATAAGTGTAATTTCTATGTAGTGGTACCGTCAAATGCCCTAACTTTTCACGAATGTTGATATTATTTAGTTTTGTCGTAAAATAAATTTTGAATTTGTACTTTTTAGCAGATAGAAATTAAAACAAGAGTAAAAACAAGACTTAGGTATAATATATAACATTTATTTTAGACATTACGCTTAATATTAATAACTTTTTGGAGGTATTTCAAGAAAAAGGCAAAGTTATGTCTAATATTCCTAACATTGCCAGAGGCGTTTACTCCAAAATAAATATGTACATTTAATCGTGGGACAATCTAAAATGTAGCTTAATAATTTAACAATACATATCAATTTCGAATAACACCTTTTGGAGTATTTTAGTAGATAAAATTTTATAAGGCAATGTTAGGACACAATTTCTTCCAATATTCATACATTGACAAAGAAAGTGTAGGGTTGTCTCATAAGAAAAATAAGTAGGTAACAAAATATTAAAATTATATTTAAAACACATGTTATAACACTTAATCAGTAATTCTCATTGCAAGCAGTTTTTATTAAAATTACAATCAGTCTTTCGAAATTAACCCTTTTTCTTAATAAACATAATCTATAAACGCACAATATGACGTAGTAAAGTTTTACTTTATTTATCCTAAAAAAATACAACAATATCACAATGAAGTCAAAAACTAATTATCAGGTAATGAATTTCAATAAATGTTTGACAAAGGAACACCTAAATTATCTAAATCAAACTTTAATGTCCCTCTACGTCCAACTTGTGGATTTGGCAACGTTTTTTCTACATCAAGTAAAGTTATTTCTGAGACATCATCTACTAGTGGCCAGTAAAATGTACCTTTTGAATTTTTTCTTAAGTATTTTATAGTATATACGCGCTCCAAATCGTTGTACTTGATTACTAGACCAATATAATATTTAGCCAACTTTGATGTTGAAAATTTAACAAGAACATATTTATCAATTCCTATTTCATACATATCATTTTCTTTATCATTATTTTGTTCCAATTCTTCATACATTTCGTCTATGTACGTTTCCGTGTCACTGAAAGATGGAAGAAAATGTTCATCACAAGACGAATCATGCACAGTATACATTCCTGAGCTTTCTGAACTCGAACCTTGATTGCTCCTACTTTTTGGAAACACCTTTTCCTGCTTAGTATAGTCATCTGAAATACTATCATCAAATGAGATTCTATCTGGGGATTTTATAATTACATTGGAGAGAATTCGGCTTTTCGTCATAGTTTCATTTGATGTAGTTGCACCAAAGTTAGAAATATTTTTGAATAAAGTCCGGTCATTTGATAAACATAAATTTTTATCAACATTCACAATAACGCCTGGTTGAACGTTGTAAATACTTTTGGTATTTTTCTGGTCAGATAATTCCATATCTCCATGTTTTTGATGTATTTCAGCATTTACTATCAAATTAGTCATAAGTTGGTTATTGTCAGCATCGGATGACGAATCTCGTCTAACGTGTAATGAGACATTGTCAAAAGTATAACCCACACTTTGATTATATATAATCAAAGAATCTGCAATAGTTGAATGTGTTTCTTTCACGTCTTCCTGTAATTGGATTTCTTTGGGGATGATATTCTTCTTAGGATTGAGTCTTTTTGCGTTACTAAGAGTTGTATCTGGTGCTTTTCGTTTTCGAGTTTTTTCATTTACGAGATCGGTAACAGTTACTGATTTTCCAGGCTCTATAAATATTTTTTTATTTGTATTTCTTATTTGCCGGTTCGCCGGGTTTCTTAAACCTTTCAAATAATTGACAAAAGTCTCATCGTAAGTAATGTTTGCTTGTGGCCTACGATAATCTGGCAATTTCTTTAATATAGCTTCTGGATTAATGGGGTGTATCCCAGCAGCACGAAATCCGCTAATTATGTTTTTTTCTGTGTAATTTTTGTTGCATCTAGTAACATTTTTAATAATTCGGGGAATATTTGTTTGTTTAATGTGTTAGAACTTGGGTGTCGAACTTTGTAGTCCGTTAAAATTCGCCTCCATTCTCTCTTCAATGGGCCGAAAAAGGCCACATCGAGAGGTTGAGTGTAGTGAGTGGAGTTAGGTGGCAAAAAGATAAATCTGATATTATGTTCTTCACACTTAGTTATTATATTTACATTCATATGTGACGATAAATTGTCTCCAATTAAAACCTTAGGATCAGTGGTTTTCACTGCCCATGGGATAATTATGGTATTAAACCAGTCTTCAAAAGTATACGAATCGAACCAACCAGATTTGGTTTTGTTGTATCTGGTTCCTTCAGGCCCGTTTGCACACCAATTTGTCCACAAATTGTCTGCTTTGTATACGACATATGGTGGGAAAATTTCTCCACTTGCCGTAGCTGAGAACATAACAGATATCGCCGTCTTGGTATTGTTTAGTGTTTTGTTTGGGTATTTAGTACCTGCTTTAAATATGCATTTTTGAGATCCTGGGTTATCGGAAAAGTTGGTCTCATCATAGTTCACTATATGATCTGGTTTGACATTATGCAATGAAATCTTCAAATTTTCAAAATATGTATTGTAGTCCTTTACACTCTTACTGGCTCGGGATTCTTTAATATTATTTGTAGAACGCACCGTCAGGACATTTTTGTGGCGTTTCAAGAAGTTTCTTACCCACTTCTGACCCGGCACTTTATAGTTAAAAATATTACTGAGTCCATTTTTGATTAAGTAATCATGTACGATTGATCTTAATTCAAAGCTAGTAATAGGATACCCATATTCTCCACAAAGAATTAAACAACTGACTATTTTCTGTTCATCAGCTGGTGGCAGTTTGGTGGGACATCCGACTTTTTTCGTGTGTTTTTGTTTTACTTTATTTAAAATCGTGCGGCGAGGGATACCAAATTGTTTCTCAGCGTCGTATGAAGTAATATTTTTATTTTCGACGAGACCTACAGCAATGTTTAGTAAGCTCTCATCGTAATCTTTATATTTTCTTCGCGGCTTGTTCATTTTGATTGTCCTTCAAATAAACAGAAAACTGAGTAAGTATATATATATATATATATATATATATATATATATATATATATATATATATATATATATATTTTCTTTTAACAAACTTTTTTTTTGTATAAGACTCCATTGACATTACAAAAGCAAAGCAAGAAATTATCTAAAGTAGGTAAACATAATATAAATAGGTCACGCGCCCGCCTAATTAAAATTAATAACAAGTGTCAACCCTACGCTCGGCAATGTTCGGTACACTTGTTCACAAAACATGCCAAACTTTGCCTACACCAGTATTTCTCAATAATTATTGGTGTATTTCTATCGTTAACAATGACAAATTATCAAATTATCATAGTTTTACGGAATGAGTATAAAACAAGTTAGAATTAAACATATTTTAATGACTTACTTGAAAAGTTTTCTCACAACTCTCGTAACCGCCGTTCTACACTTTAATTCAGCACCCGATTGTCAAAAATCTTTGCATTTTACCAACGTGATGCTACTAATTTTGTGTTGCCAGATAATAATTCTAAAAATATATCAAAGTTTCCGTTGTCAGGCTAATAAAATAGAAAAGATATTACTTCTTTTTCATTATGGGCAAACATTGGACCCGTGGCAAAGTTAGGGAGTTTGACGGTAACATAGGAGAATCCACTAGCTCTGGATAATAAAAAACTGTTGGCAATCTGCCACCCGCAAAAAACTCATTGGTATAATAACACCTCCGAATAGAACCACAAGAATAAAAGTGATTTTTTATAAACAGGAAACTTGAACTCAAACCCATCATTAGATGAAATTTTGTTAGACATTAGATTTTTTAGGACAGCAAAGCAATTTGTCAATAAATTTTGAAAATTTAATATGAAGAATACTATAATTCTAAAAAAAGTAAAGTAACACCTTTATAGGTCTCATTGTTGGGCGCAGACCTCTCACTTCTGAGAAGGTTTTAGGGCAAGAAAGTATTCTCCGCGCAGCCCCAATCCATGTTAGCGGCCTTCAAATGTCTTCGAAATATTGTCTTTTCATTTCTCAGACATGTCGGTTTCCTTAAAGCAATTAACAAATTATTGGTGCCAGCGGGGATCGAACCCAGGTTGCTCGTGTACTGTAAAATTTGCAGCAAGCGCTAACCCACTAAGCTACCAAGAATTCTAAGAAAATGAAATAATTCTAAGAAAATGAGTTTTAAAACTTGCCTGAATAATAATAATAATTTTTACCTAAATATGTAAGCTTGAACGAATTAAAGCTTCCATAAAACTGAAAGTATTCTGAACATTCATACATAAACTATACCAGAAAAAATTATGCCTGAATTTATTGCAAACCTTAACTTAGCCTTAGCTTACCTAAAATCTTCTCTTTAGTAGAATTCATTTCTATTAAAATTATTTCAGCTCATCAATATAGAGCTTTGGACAGAAAACTCCGAAACTGCAAGTTCTACTGAAGGTAAATATAAAAATTAAAAGCATGCCTTATGCATGATATCTTAGGTTGGTGTGTTCTTAGGGTTGCACCCAGGGAATATATCAGCACTGTATAATTTTGAGCTTTTAAAGAAAACTACTAAATTGGTATCTTTTTTTGTAAAGTAATACAATAATTTATAGTGTGAAGCAGTGAATATTAGATGTAAATGATGTAAAATGTAAATTTGTTTTCGTCGGAGTATAATTTAAAGGGTTTGAAAGGTTTTTCAATATTTTATTCTGAATTTAAAAATATTTTAATTTGAATTTAATTATTTATTTGTACTATTACTGCTAAATCACACTGGCAACACTAAAATGTAGTAGTTGTTCAAAATCAACAAAATTTCAAAAATGTCTGTTACCTACTGATATTCTTGTGCTTGCATGATGTATTAGTATTTTTTGATTATTTATAAATCTAAGATTTTCATCTGTGAATTTGTCGTTGAGTGGAGCTTTTGTTCCTCCTGATATTTGTGCAACTGAGATAAGACGGACTCATGTTTATTGTGTGTATATTGTTTATAAGACTCTTATTTTGTTCATAATTTTAGTCTATTTTTGTGCAACTGAGACAGAACTCCTTCCATTGTAGTTTTAAGTGTATAACATTAGTAAATCTTGGTGTAATAATGTCATCGGATAAATATTGTTGTGTTCCCGGGTGTACAGAAAATCAAGGTAATCTGTTAAGCTATGTCTTACTCTATTTTCATATCATTATTATATGTATATCTTTAATACGAGTAGGATTAAGGCTCCTAAATCAAATACTATTCAACTTCATTAGTTAGGAGCTAAATTATTCCTAATCTTAGTGGGCTTATACCCTTGCTGGATAAGTATTATTTTTAAGAAAGTTGATCATAAATTTTGTAGTAGTTAGTAACCAATGAGGCTAATATTTACAATATGGACCATCGATTTCAAAGCCCATATTTTTTTTGTAGATAGTACTCACTAAAAGAAAGCGTTTTGCAAAGTTTTAGGTTGCGGAAACTTACGGTTCATGAGATATATTTTTTTAAACTTTTCATACAAATTGGTAAATATAACACACAATTACAAAATAAATTTGACAAATGATTGATGTCAAACGTCAGTTAGTGTAGGGTTCCGAATATTTTGAAAGTATCGATACCTACTCGATACCAAGTATCTTATCAAAAGTATCAATACTACTTGGTATCGAGTACATTTCGTTAATTTTGGAGACGAAAAATTATGACAAACCAATTAGATGCATAGGAAGAGCTGATAAGTGCAATTATATATGTATATAAAGTAGAATAAAGTTTACACTATTTAAGTTCCACCTTAGTACTTGTATTCCATTGTTTGCAACTTGTTTGTATTTCTTAATTAGTACAGCTTTTGTACTTTTATTTTATGGTTTGCAACTTTCTGTATTATCCAATTCTTACTACAATAAAGTGTTTACTTACTTATTTAATATCCAAAAAGTACCCAAAACCGAACCAGAGCACCCCACTATCCACGTGATCCTGTCTGCCCTACCCCTAGAGTGTATATAAGAGCCCGGAGGCGCGGAGGGAGAGCAGTGCCCGCCCACCGTAGGGAAGCGCAGGCACCAAGATCGCCGTAGCGGCTGAGGCTGGTTGCCGAAGGCGGTCGCCGCTAAAGCCGAAGTTAAGTTAAGTTAAGTTGATGTCTTCTGCACGTACCTAGGTACGTGCAGGTATCGGGCCTCGGGGTATACCCCATTACCCGGATATCCTCATACCCCATAACTATGGGGCAGTCACTTATTGCCTATCTTGGCGTGGTTATGCTGCATTATATAATGTAGCCGGATAAGAAATTACTTTCCGTAGTTCACCGACTACGGAAAGGGAGGTAATCTATGAGTCTAAGTTGGCCTTTCTGCGGCATTGTGGGTTGTTACTCGACTCTCTAATCACATATAGAGAGGAGTTCTCTTGGAAGAGGTCGCTCGTCCGGAGGCCGGGTGTGTAACGGCGCAAAGCCGTTCAGGTGTTCATGTGGCCCGTTATCGGCACGGTCAAACATGCCGCGCGCTAACCGGGCCACAAAATCGGTGATGGTCTCGATTTTCAGATCGGCCGCTATGACGTCATTCCAGACGTAACGACCTGCTCCGACAATCGTCCTTAATGACAGGTTCTGCTGAGCCTATAATCGCCGCCTCTGGGTGTCACTTAGAAGCGCGTACCAGGCCGGAGCAGCGTAGGTGGTAATAGTCCGGATATACATCTTGTATATCCGGAGCTTGGTCTTTATGGGCAGCTTGGATGCCAGGACCGGACGAAGCATCGCCCGCGCACATCTGGCTTTGCGGACGACGAAGTCGACGTGCGCAGTCATGCGCAGCGCCCGGTCGATCCGGCACCCGAGGTATGTCACAGCCTTCTCGTACGCGATCTTCTGGCCGTCGAGTTAGTGGTGGTGGTAGGTTTCTGAGGCGGCGAGTGAGCAGAGCGGTCGTCTTACCAACGTTGACGACCATCCTCCACTCGTTCAGCCATGATGGCAACAGGTCCAGCAGACGCTGCATTTTGGCAGTGGCTATATGGGCTCTTCCGGACGAGGTGAAATAGGCGCTATCGACCGCGTATAGCGCCAGCTCAACGTCGTCCTCCCATTCTTGCAGCCTGCCTGCCAATGTTGGGATGTCATTCGTGTAAGCCGCATACAGGACTGGAGACAGACAACTGCCCTGTGGGACGCCGGCACTGATGGTTCTTGTTGCGGACTCTGCGTCCTCTACGCAGACGTAGAACTTCCTGTCTTCCAGGAAAGACGCCATTAACCGCAACATAGCAGGGGGGACACTGGTCTGTTCGTGCAACTTATATAGTAATCCTGAGTGCCACACCCGGTCGAACGCCTTCTCGATATCGAGGAAGACGCCCAACGATATGCGGCCATGATTGTACTCTGCCGCAAGCAGGTGCAGCACTCTAGTCAGCTGTGTGACTGTAGAGTGGCCCCTCCTGAATCCGTGCTGCTCCGCCCGAAGTTGGATGCACGGACGGAGACGTCTTAGCAGCAGTCTTTCAAACAGTTTAGCTATGTGCGGTAATAGCGTAATCGGCCTGTAGCTGGCAGCTCTACGCCTGTCCTTCCCGGGTTTCGGCAGGACGATAATTTTGCCTTTTTTCCATTCCTCCGGGAAGTGGGATGTCCGCAATATCCCATTGTAGAGTCGACCAATCTCTACTAGGACTTTATAGGGCAGCTGTCGGAGTGCAGCGTTGGTAATCCCATCGTGCCCAGATGCCTTCCTCGGTTGCAGGCATGTTACTGTCCTCCGCAGTTCAGCGGGGGAGATGAACCACTCTCCTGCAAGAGGCGGCGCGGGCGACGACAGGAACTCCTGTACGCGACTCTCCTTTAGGGCATGAAGCTCCATGTACTCCGCACTTGCAGGGTTCGCCATAAATTGCTCCTCGAAGTGCTCTCCTAGGATATCCGCTCTGCCCTTGGCATCATAGCAGCGTTCGCCCGCATGGTTGGTAAGCGGGC